ACTCGCTCCCGCCCCCATACTATTTTATAATGTTCATTATGAAAACTAGAAACCCCCCCCCCCCCCCCCCCCCCACGCATCTCGATAATTCCACATCATTGGAAATCAATCATACCATCAACAAGTATCTGAAATCATGGAGAAGCCGGGGGCTCTAGAGACAGGCGAGCAGCCCTGTCAATCGAGATTGATAGGTAAGGGTCGCGGGTATATCCTCATTCTCTATACTCCATGCTACTTATTGCCTATGTCATGATGCTGAGAGTAATAAGTTATAAAAACGAGGTCACGCCCGTCTCTTGAAGGACCTAGATATTGCCTCAGACCCAACCCTCTCAATATATCTCAACCCTCAATTTCAAGTACAGTCTCGACAAAATGAAGGCTAGCAGCATCATCTCCGTCCTTGCGCTTGGCGCTACTGCTCTTGCCCGCCCTAAGCACGGTGGCCATTTGCCAACCACCACTGTCGCTGGTGTTGAGGTTGTCGATACCCAGATAGTTCGCGATGCCCGGGCTCTAATCGAAAAGTTCCCTGATTTCCTCTACTGGCACAGCATGCGCACTTGGCTTCTCGGTGCCGCTGTTCTCAACGCCAACGCGACCCTCAAGGCCCAGGTTGACCTCGAGGCTCATGCTTTGGGTACCATTCTTCACGATCTTGGCTGGGATAGTAAGCTTTTTGACATACCCTATTTGATATTAAGATTCTGCCATGACTAACTGTATGCGCTACAGTGAGCCCCGATTCCCCTTGGGTCACCAAGTAAGTTTTTAGCTCGTTATATCCATTCACAAGTTGGAATGTTATGGTATCGTCTGAGGATCGACTTGAATAGCGTCCACAGACAAGTATTTCGTTATTTTACCTCCCTGGGCTTTATCTTTATATCGTACTGACTGAGGTATGAACAGAGAGAACCGCTTCGAAGTTGACGGTGGTCTTGGTGCCGTGCGGTGGATTAAGGCACACAAGTCCTACAAGTCATGCGTTTGGACCGAGGCTCGTCTTGAGCGCATCTTCGATGGCATTGCTCTTCACGGCACCTTTGGTATCCACCCCTTCAAGAACATTGACACCAAGTGGATCACGAACAGCGTTGGGTTTGACGGTGTGAACTTCACGCCACAGGAAGTTCCAATTGAGAAGTTTAACAGTGTCGTCGCCGAGTTCCCTAAGGATAGTTTCCAGAAGGGCGCCATTGACACCTTCACAGTTAGTCACCCCTCTGTAGATTTTTTTTTGAGTTCTCGGCTTTTTCGGAATCGCATTTACTAACACATGGAACCCCAGTGGATGGCCGCTACAAAACCTAACGGCACATATAACACTTTCGTTGAGCCCTTCGGCACCCACTACGTACCTGGATACAACTCCACTGGCAAGCATTCGTTCGACCGTATCACCGCTGGTTACGTTCCGGATAAGAACTAGAGGGTTGATTAGTATATTTATAATTAGTATATAATAGCGAGTTTCGTGATGCAGATATGAATGTAATGAAGATTTATCTAATTGATTTCGAGATTCTAATTAATCTCGACTTCGTGTGTTGTATATTTTGCTCGGACACATGATATATTGCGCAGTGCCGCTAACATGGAGTTGAAGTCGCGTTCTTAGAGATATCATATCTCCCACGCAATGTAACTGGCGCTCTGTTTTTGCCGTCGATGAGGGATGATAGAGTAGAACTATGCGTGTGTAGGCTTTGTTAGGAACACTGCGGACGACTAGGTATCTATGGCTATGACCGGTAGTAACATGGGCAGGTCAAGTATCGTGTTATCGCTCAGGGATACAATGCATGTCAGTTTAAGTACTTTGTAACCTAGTGAAAGAAATACGCGGGGCCGAACTCTAGCTTTTTGCTCTCCAGTCAACGCATCCTCGCGCCAGATCCTCGCGTGATGCATAGATAGCGAATCGTCGCCCCAACTTCACCCATTTTTTGAGTGAGCGTACTCAGTCCCATCTATACGCCACGATACGAGAATTCAGATTAGCCCGGCACATCGTCAAAGTGCACCAATAAGCTGTGGCCCTCACGAACATCACCGAGGTGGTAGGTTGTAATAGGGAAGATCGACGACGATAATAAGTACTCCAATATAGGAGTCCAAGTCCAGGAGATCAGGCGGATATCGGTCAATGTCAGCTTGGTAGGCCGGGCGGCCTTGAGATACCGGAGAAGATCTTCCCCTGGGTAAGCTGCAAGCGTTGAGATTGAGATGTGGAGACTCCAGGGGAGAGGTGATGTCGAGGTCTATAATGCCATCGTCTGGAGAAGTTAGATCTAAGCTGCCAGCATTGTACCAGTGTATATCAAGCGCTTCCAGATGGGGTATGAATGCTAATATCACCAACAGACTGGAGAAGGCTGGAGCCGTGCATGCTCCATCGGACAAGGGGGGTGCCATACATGCTTTGTTCGTAGGGATTCGGAATTCGAACCGATGACATGCATATTGAGGACAAGCTCATCGTTATCTTCAACGACCTGAAGACGGTCGCTGCGGAGGCTATTTGTGTAATTGGAAGAAGAGCGTCACGATAAGAGAGACTACATCCTTTAACGGCGTCAAGAAGCTCGAAATGCTCTCCCACAGACAAGTTGCTCTCACGAAGGGCAGCCATCGTGGTCTCAAATGTCTGTTGAGCCGTATGTTAGATGATTCGTAGCGCCCGGCCAGAATTTAACTCAAAGACGCCGCCATCTTGGAATGACTGCTCATTGTCATTCAACATACCCTTAGGCCACGACTCGAAGTTGACACTCAAGGACACGAGACCAGCATGTGAGGGATTCCGTTTCAAATTGAGGACTGCATCATTGAGAAGTCGCATGAGAACCGGCTCGCCAGGCTTATCCACGAGGACGCCGGTGATGGTGCAATGTTGTAAAACATAACCAGCGCGGCCTGGATAGGTCATGTAAACAAATTCTTTCAAGGACCCGGGATCAAGCTTGACGTTCTTGTAAGCGAGGAACTGGGGGACATTCGCCGGTGATAGCTTGCCCACGAGGGCGCGAGATGTGAGCCGCGACTAATTCGACAGGCAGGGACTCTATCATGGCTGGCAGACCAGTTGTATATAGAGTCGAGTCAAGCCACCAAGTTCAAGAAGGAATTGGTTGATCAAGGACTCATGCAGCCCTACTCGATCATTATATTGTGAATAGCATGAAGTTCTACGCCTAGATCTCTGCCCTTGTTATATTAACCAATGCTTGAAATGGTCACTAATACTCATCCTGAAGCTTTGGGATGGTTTTCATTGCTCCTTATTCTACTGTCTCTTTATACTTCGCTCCCTTCTAGTCGCTTAATACCTGCCATACCTTACACAGTAGATGTAGGTAATTCTTGTCCTGCATGGCAATTATTTATTACTGTAGATAGGTACTGTACAATTACTATCCCGTACAGATCTCCGAAAAACTCGTAGAATAGAATTATTTTAGCTAAATTGAGAAGCCATTTTCGGTGAACAATAAGAACTATACAGCTGCGGTACATACTACAGGGAGGGCAGCACATGGGTTGAACATCATCTCTAGTATAGTCTACCACCCTCCACTATAAATATCATTTCAATTATAAGCGATTTGACTACCTCGGCTGAACTATCTCCACCCTTAGGTGTCTGTTGCAAATCTATGTCATAACATGTCGATATTGAGACGGCTTTGAGTAATCCCTAACTAAATTGGCTGTGTTTTCTAGCTCCTGTTCGCGCCGCAATTCTTAAGGCGCTCATTCATTAAGTTCCTGCTATGTGTAAGTGATTCATTATGAATGAAAACTCCAAGCTCCTCGGTAATCTATCTAATTGTCACACTAACAGAGACTCTCCGTATAAGCCCTCAGTGCCCGATATTCGCACGAAAACCGGCTCAAAATCTTATTTGTAAGGTAGATGCCCACTCTTGTAATCATGACCAGTTAAAGAGGACTCTTAAGAAGTTTTGCAAACTGATATTGATGGCGGAAAACTGGACATGGAGTTAAATGGTCTGTTCGGACAATATGTGTGATCAAAAGTCCGAAATACTACACCAATCAGAGACTACATCGGACTTAACAACTTACCCCCTGCTCATCTCACAATACTCAGTGCGCGTATCAACTTGTTATAGGTGGAAGTAGAAACACCAGCCAGAGCGGTCATAGTAGAGTGAGTAGAAGGTTCATCTTATGCATGGCGATGAGTACTCACGATGAGCCGACTAGCTCGATGTGTAGTCTCCTTTAAGTCCGGAGTCCCATTTTGCTACACCATATCACACGTAGGGGGGAGGGCAGAATGTAGTGTTAAGTATAGATATAAAAGGCACCAGTACACCAATGTCAAACGTTCGTGCCCATTATTCAATTTTCACGGCAGAAAGCACCAGTTATCACCTCGATAACCTAATAGCGATTCAGAGTTATCACAATGGCCAGCGAACATGTCCTCATTGGCGCCGCCGCGAAGATCCCAGTTGGCCCATCCTCTCCTATCACTGTATACACTCCCTTAATCATTCCCAGCCCTGGCCGGCCGGTAGAGCTGCAACTGCGTGTGACAGCGCCCGTTACTGGGGATGCACTGCCGATTGTTCTCCTATCACATGGACATGGACCCAGTAATTGGCTGTCTTCTCTCAATGGCTATGCTCCTCTTGCAGAATTCTATGCCAAGCACGGCTTCGTGGTCATTCAGCCAACTCACCTATCCTCAACGACACTCGGCCTGCAAGGCATACCGGGCGATGAGATGTACTGGCAGTAAGTAGTACCTAGCGTTGATTTTTTTATTCTCGTAGTGGAAGTAGTCTTATTGGTGGACAAAGTGCTGACTTTGGTATCAACAGGTCGCGATCAGAGGATATGACTCGAATTTTAGATCAGCTTGATCATATTGAATCAACTGTACCTGGCCTGAAAGGACGTGTTGACAGAAGCAAGGTCGCGGGCGTAGGCCATTCCTTCGGTGGCTTCACCATGAGTCTCCTTCTAGGTGCAACCAATACAGACCCTCGCGATGGGACCGTGTCTCGTCCTTTCGAGCAGCGGATCCAAGCTGGCGTGCTATTCGGCAACACTGGGAATGGCGGCGCTGATTTGTCCGAGGATGGACGCAAGATAGTTCCGTTTTACGGCCTCGACTTCAGCACAATGCACACACCTACGTTGACTATCGGGGGCGAGGACGATGTCAGCCCCTATCTGACAGTTCGTGGAGCTGACTGGCATTGGGATTCCTACACGCACGGCCCTGGTTTTAAGGATCTGCTGCGGGTGAAAGGAGGTCATCATGGATTTGGTGGTATATGCGGATGGGATGCGAAGGGCACCGAGGATGAAAGCCCAGAAATGCTCAGCATGGTCCAGAGAATGTCTTTGGCCTATATGAAGAGTCAACTTTATGAAGGAGATAAGTCGTGGGAACAGGCGTGTAAGGCACTATCTGGGCTAGAGGCGCTCGGATCTATTGAAAGCAAGCCCTTGGTGGAATAGATAAGAATCCATGGGCATGGCGCTCAAAGTGCCAACTCCTCTCATATCCGGCCATAGAACATGTCGAATTCATGAACTCATCTTCTGTCCTAAAGCACGAGTAGTACCATGTCGCTCCATTGCCGAATTTGTAGCATAGGAGTTCGTTGTGAAAGTCGATGGTGGTGCCTGACCTCACCAATGTAACTGTAAGGTAGATACTGAAATATGTAGCCGGTAAAGATGAAAACATATCAGAGGTTGCTTCCACACATGTGAAAAAGTCGACCAACTCTATCTAAGTATTCTTAAGCCAGAGATTTAAGGTTGTTTCTTGAAGCATTTCTACTTCAGCAGCCTCTTCCACTGCAGTCAATACGAAGTAAGGAAACACGCAAGACACGATTTAAGGTTACCTAAAATAGGTAGAGGTACCTATTTCAGAATACGTACATCATGATCCGCGCTCATGGCGTGTATGTCTCAGCACATATTACATATTTCACAGATCGAGACCAGTCAACTCGGAACGGTCTCGGAGCTGCAAACGGACCGTGTGCCCCGCGCCAGCTGATTATCGTGGAAGTAGGCCAATCGCTATCGGCGCTTGATCAGCCGCTTGACACTGACTGCTGCCACGCTGCCACTGCCAGCTCACCCGATGCTGCTACAGTGCCAGTTGCACAGTATGTATGGCATAATCGCACACGACCGGCATCTCGCGCGGCGCTTCAACCCGCTGACTGTCCCCGGGTGGAGGAGAGAATACCTCTACCTAGTATTACCCCCCATGTACAGTAGGAAACTAACGACTTACTAGGTAATTATAGGCGCTATTATATAGGCGCTGAAGTGGCCTGTTAGGTGCTTTGGGTTGGTGCTGAGCTAGGTATTGCTCTCCAAGCAACCAAAGCACGCCAGCCAAAAAATGACCATGACCCTCCCTTGCTCACACACACACACACACGCATGCTCTCGCCGACCAGGCCCTACCACTTTTCGTCCTCTTCCCTCGACCCTCCTGCTCTCCCTCGCCCCCCTCAGTCCAGAGCCATGACAAGCTTGGTCAATGTTGTGCGATTGTCACATTCGTCTTGTATTTTCGCCTGATTTCTTGTAATAGCGGATTGTCCCAGAGTCGCATTGCATTGCATTGGCCAAAGAAAGAGCTTCGTCTCTTTCCCTCGTTCCGATCCTCTCGTCCCTCTCTTCCCTTCAAGTCGTCTCGGTCCAACAGCGCCTACCTACCTACCCACTCCGCCTTCGTAACAACAAAGCTCTCACTCGGCTACCTGGACCAAGTCAAACGCCTGTTCTAACTCGAAATCTCGTCGCATTCGAATTCATCTTACTGGTGCTCGCGTCGCGTCCTCGAACCCCTCCTCGTCCTCGCTCTTTTCCACCTCCCGTCTGCCTCCGTCCACCCGTCGCCTTGCTACCGAGCGATGGCCGGCGCCTCTCCCACCAGACGCTCTTCTCGTGCGCGGATCACACAATCCCAATCACAGGTTTCTTCCACCGCCTCCAGTGCTTCTGGCCGTGTCGAGCGGGCCACCAGAGGCTTTACGAAGACCGGATCGCCTCAGAAATCCACCGGCAGCGGATCACTCTCCTCAGAGCCACCCGAGGACTCAACTACCACCGAAGACACCATTCTTCGCCGTCGTAGCACGCGCGGAAAAGACGACGACCGCGACAAGCAGCCGAAACAAGATACCGTCGACATGCCTCCCGCCCCCGACGAGATCCACGAGGACGACGAATCTGTCCGCTGCATCTGCGGCCATGATGAGTACCCGGGGCCACCTCCCTTTGATGAAGACTCCAAGCACGGTGTCAAGGACGCAATTGACCACGAACGCATCTTCGCCATTGAGATTACCGACGACTTGGCCGGTTTTTTTGTTCAATGCGAGATCTGCAACACATGGCAGCATGGCGCTTGTGTCGGCTTCACCACTGAAGAGTCCAATCCCGAAGACGTCGAGTATTACTGTGAGCAATGTCGTAAAGACCTACATAAAATATATACTGCTAGCAATGGGTAAGTTCAACCAAGCTCTCTACGCCTCATACCTCAATTGTTGGCTTTCAGAGGTTCCCTTTTTTTGCCCTTGCCGCTGTCGTATATTCTACTATATCACCTTCCGATACGCTTCATTATACTAACTTCTCTCGCCCAGACAAAAATACTCCATATTTCTACCTATTCACCGACCCTCTCAAGCTGCGTCGCGTGCCACGTCCGCTGCGAAAGAAGATGCGCGATCACCCAAGAGTGGCAACAATAATAGCAAAACCCCTCGTACCGCCGCCGCCGCTGCTGCACAACATGCTTCCAAAAGACGGTCTACCATGAACAGTCGAGATGCCGCTTATGATGAGGAAGAACAGCTTCGTCGTGCTATCGAAGCAAGCAAGGAGGATACAATTCCAGAAGAGGCCGACATGGTCAACAGACGTCCTAAAAGAGGGAGAGAAGACAGCGAAGAGTACGCGAAATCTCGTGCCTGAATCGGAATTACTCGCTAACCCCTCAGCAGGAAGGCAGACAATGTTAAAAGGCAACGCACAAACTCGAAATCGCCGTCTCCAGCTCCGGAAAAGCCAGATGCCACTGTCCTCGATGAGTCTGACGATGAACTGGCTCTCCGAAACGGACACTCGAAAAAATCGCGAAATACTGTGCGAAACCAGCGAGAACGCGCTGAGCGGGAAGAACGTCGTGAGGAGCAAGAACGCAAACGGGCCGAGGCAGCAAGTAAACGCAAAGGCCGTGCCGAGCGTCGTCGAGCTGATGGTAAGTCACTGCTGAACACTCTGTCTAGATGACCACAATAACTAATTATTGTAGATTCAGATCCCTCAGACGAGTTACCACTCGCCACACGGACGGTAGCAAGTCGAGTCACAGAGTCTGCTCAACCTCCAGATCCTCCAGTTCCTTCATCCCAACCTCCCCCTGATACCCCGCCTATTCCTCAAGCAACTACAACTACAAGCAAGAAAAAAGCCACACAATCTAAAAAGAAGGGGCGCAATCAGTACACGAAAGACCGCGACCACGAGCATGAAGCTTCGCCTGTGAGGTCCGTTTCACGTGACATATCCAGAAATGCTGATGAAGCAGGAACAACTACGAAGCACACAGGGCATGAGACAACTAGCAAACATAGTAAAGCAAGAGGCGGTATGAATTCCAAGATAACAATGAGCGACATGAAAAGACGCGTGCACGGAATTTTGGAGTATATTACTCGCAAACAGGTCGAGCTCGTGAACGACCCGTTATCTGAAACAACGTCAACCGCTAGCCAAGCTGGCACAGAAGATGATGCTGTGCCTACAAGCAAAGTCAACGGCGACAGCCCCACCAAGAAGCCTGTAGTAGAGATCCCCATTACAAATGGAGCAGGGAGTAACCTGCCGACAGATCCCACGGCCATTTTTAAAGATATGAGCTGCGTGGAAATGATGGATTCCTTGACACGGGATCTGATGAAGTGGCAGCAGGAATTCATACACTGACCGGAATCACTCTTGCTTGAGGCCTCTTTTCCCCTCATCAAATTCGCTTTTTTTTTTTTAAACTTATTTCTTCTTAGCATTTAGCTCCTAAGCATTTGATCGGCGTTGGTTACTGGAGACTTGGGAGGCAGTCTTGATGCGTTCGGCGTTGACATTTTCAGTGGGGTGGCAATTTTGCTTTTGGAGATTTCTCACCATGAAAAAAACTACCCCTTCATCCAAAGGCTTACCATCCATACATTTGGCAAAATTTTCATGCGGCAATGGCCGTAGCGGAGACATGATGGCTTCATGAGGGAAGGAAGACAAGAGGCAATGATACTGGACGGACGACTGGGCTAACGGAATGATTTGTGGTCTAGTGTATTTTGGATGTGAGAGGCATCATATCATAGCGCATATATACCCCCGATTTAGCAAATTTCAAAATGGCTAATGTACAATATGGAGAACCTTTTGCTTTTGTTCCACCTTGGGTATCATGCAACTGAGCGAGTTGAGCTTGGCCGCTTTCTCACAGATGGCCTTCTTCCCTCACGCTCTCTTCGCTTGTTTCGTTCAAGGCCGCCACCAACCGACCGGTAGATTGACGTGACGAAAACAGCTACTATAATCAAGAAGTTGGGTCGAGTGCAGCCGCTCGCTTGGCCAAACTCCGCGCCTTCCGGGCCTCCTTCTCACGCTTCCTGGCCTGACTCAGGCTCAGCGGCGCATCGCCCTCGTTCTGTTCCAGCGCAAGCCTCGTCGCGCGCGCCTTCAGCCCTTCTTCACTGATATCGTCGAGCCCGAAACGGCCCAGATGGCCCCGCCGCCACTGCTGCACGACCCAGTCGGCAGCGTGTTCGCGCGCGGGAACCCCGCCTTTGAGCAACTTGCCCGTGCGCACTGCGACGGCGTCGAGGAATTCCTGGACGTCGTTTGTGGGGGCGCTCAGGTCGGCGTAGATGGTGGGATCGCGCTGGTTGATCAGGAAGAGCATGTAGTCTGCTATCGTCTCGGCGGGGACTAGGCCGTCTTTCACGCAGCCCACGAGGGAGAGCTTGAGCATGGATTCGAGGTCCGATACGTAGGGCACGAAGACGCCAGGCGTGTCCACGACGAAGACGCCTTCGCCTACGTCTTGTGCGTCATTGTAGGCGCCGTCGCTGGTTTCGGTAGCAGCGACGATGCGCACGGGTGTGCTTAGTTTCCGCGTCACGCCCGGCTGGGCGCCTGTCCGCGCGGCGCCCGGGAGACGCATGCCGACGCGGCGCAGCGCGTTCAGAAGCGTGGATTTCCCGGCGTTCGGCATCCCGACTACGAGGGCGCGCAATCCGAGGAGCGAGTCCTGCGCCGCGGCGCGCTCTTTGACGAGAGCGAGGAGACGCTGTATACTCCGCGGATTGCGCTCGTCCGTGAACACCACCTCCGTCCTACCCCCGATCACACCACTGCCTGAAGAAGGCGAGTTTTGGTGCCATTCCGTCAACAGGCTTTGCTGTCTCGCCAACCACCGCGTCGATGTTGCCGGTGCGCAGAGGTCGGACTTTGTGTAGACTATTATCCGGTCGCGGCTTGCGAGAGAGGATTCGAGGAGTGGATTGGTGGATGTTAAGGGGACCCGCGAGTCCCGGCATTCGAGGATCAGCCCGATGTTCGAGAGTACTTTGCGCATTGATGTCAGCGCTGCTGTGTGGTGGCCGAGGAAGTAGGATCGCGTGATGGACGCCGATACTTCGAAGACGGCGCGCGGGACGAAGCCGTTTGCAGCGCCCGCGGCGCTCGAGGCTGCTTTGGCGGCTGCCGCCATTATGATTCGAGATATGGTGGGTTCGGCTTCGATTGTCTAGTTGCCGCGTACGGCATTGTGTCAGCGAAGAGAGGGGTCAGTCAACACTGCATGGCATGCGTGACCCTATCTCGCCCGCCTGTCGCTGATTCGACTTAGAGATAGATATGGTGGTAGGTATGGATCGAAGTATTCAGGGCCCAGGCATTTCATTCATACCTCGATAAGAGCACTTGTTGGACCTAGCAGAAAAATTGTACCTATCAGCCTTGCGGGAGATCGGCAGTCTACAGGGATCTTACTTATCAATGACGTCTCTGTCTCTTATCTGAGAATTATGATTGGATATCGTGAAATATCTAAATATGGGGTCGGTGTTCCTAGATCTGCCGATCTGCAGTTCTTGGCTTTCCCTGGTTTATTTGCCGAAGGAAATACTCAGTACTTTGAGCAGCTCATATAAGAATGCAAATCCATGATTACTTGCATGCCTGACTGTGACAGTCTTAGAGAGCACATTTCAACACGGTTATAATTCGTGTATTTCGCAATGTGCGTACACTTGGTCTATTAGGTATGTCGACTTAGTCAAGAGTTACATGCCATGGAATTCGAGACATATTGTAATTTTCAACTTTGAAGCTCCTTTGGTAGAGTATTTTATTAGTATCTGCTTTTCTGAAAATTTCGAATGTAACTCAGTCGTCTGCTGAACCATTGCTCCCTTCACGGAGGAGAGAGTATGGGGCGTTTCCCCTCACAACGGCAGAAAAAGGATATCCGGGTGCAGACAGGGGCTTTGATCCTTCTCCTCTTTTTATACTCAACTTCTACTTACATGGAATTATGAGGGACAATGTCCAAGTTACCCCGCGGATGTGATGAACGCCCTTGGCGGCATAAGCTGATGATTTATCGACGGGATGATCGGTGAAGGCGCATCAAATCTCCACTCCCCGCGTCCCATCTCGTCTTAGATCTGTACTCCTCACCCGGCTGGTGTGATCGTACACGGCTTCTAGCACGGGGTTACGGGTATGCCCATGATTGTTCTGAGGAGAGGAGAGGGGGTGGCTGCATCTTGGATCATGCATCACTGAGAGTCATCTTGTTGTACAAGATGTTCGCAAGATTGCTTTGTTGAACCCAACTTTGTGAACCCCGCGTAGTTCAGATCTCGCCCCTTTCTCAACTTTGCTTTCTCTCTACAGTTCCCCGATATCATGTCTTCTCTCTCAGTTAAGGGCAAGTTGGCCATCGTCACTGGCGCTGGTTCAGGTAAGAACTAAGGTTGCTGTTACAACAGACGAGTTAAAGTTCACCAGCTCACACTCTGAACATAGGCATCAATCTGGCCTTTGCGAACCTGCTTCTCCAACATGGCTGCTCTGTAGTCATCGGCGACTTAGCCCTACGTCCCGAAGCTGAGGAGCTCATATCTCAATTTCCCCAAAAAGAAGACGGCTCCGGTCCTTCAGCCATCTTCCATCAAACGGATGTAACATCGTGGCCAGCTCTGTCCTCGCTCTTTGAAAAGGCTCTGTCATCCTTCGGCCGAGTCGACATTGTCGTCCCGGGGGCAGGTGTCTTCGAGCCTCAGTTCTCGGCGTTCTGGAATCCGCCCAAGACAGCGACCAATCCAGATACCCCGAGCATCGACGCGGCCGATGCCGTGCCCGGCTCGTACAAGTCCATAGAGATCAATTTGACGCATCCTATCCGCCTGAGCCAGCTGGCCATAGGATACTGGACGAAGAACAAGATGCCGGGTACCTTGGTGCATGTTAGTAGTATTGCTGGACATATTGCAGGAATTGGCGCGCCCTTGTATTTCGCGACCAAACATGGCTGTAAGTAGAGCTTTCTTCTCAAGCGTCGGACTACGTTACAGGATGAGGCTAACCCTGCATGACGGATTGCTAGTGCATGGCTTTGTTAGATCGTTGGCGAAGCTAAGAGACACAGTCGGTATCCGAGTCAGTGCCGTCGCTCCCGCTAGCGTAAAGGTAAGAGCGTTACCGTCATCAAACTATCCATTCAGCCCCTTTCATATGCTGAGTGTCCATACTATAGACACCACTTTGGACTGAAGCTGCTGGTATGAAACACTTGATGGATGCCGGTATAGGAGAGGAGATTACTCCCGAGACCATCGCCGAAGCGATGCTGGAGCTGTGCCAGAATCCTGAATATGGCGATGGGACAATCCTCGAGGTCACTCTGGAACACAAGAGGGTCGTACCGCTGTTTAACGCTGATCCGCCGCCGCCGAGTGCCATTGAAAACCCGGTTTTTGCGACGGTTACCATGGAGCTGCTTGAGAGGCTGAAGACGAAAGGGATAGATGTCTAAGTTGGATGGCTAGCTAGGTACGCTACCATTCTTCATCATCACATTAGCACCACTTTATTGTTGAGTTCCTCCTGAGCTATCTGTGCGATGTAGACTCACTGGTTGAGAAATATCATATGAATCACACAAATTTCAATTGAACCATGTTTCATCACGAGAGTTATAAGCTCTCGGGCGCTATGACAATACAAAATCTATGAAATGCATGAAATAGAAAATATGGTTATATTCCCGTAGTCTAATGAGCTTGAGATGAGCATAGAGCCAGCCCAGTTACTCTCAGCTCGCCATTACCCCGATGCCAGTCCTATTCCCGTTCAATACAGGGACACTCCTCATCGAACACTCCTAAACATTACATTCCGCCCAGCCCCTGTCATCACCTCACCAGTCGTCGACAACCCCTGGGATTCAGATTAGGCCACGTTTAGCCCAGCCTCGACCTGGTCGGACTTTGTAGAAGCGCCCATTATTGGACATTCACTCATCGGTATCCTGACAGCCTGGTTATCAGGATCCATCTGCCGAAACATCTCATCCGAGTCGAACCACGTCTTCAGCTTCGTGACCTGGAGCTTGTCATTCAGATGCGCCACCGTGACGCCCGTGATTTCGACGACCTTTCCATTCGCAGGGACCTTGACCTTCTCGCCGGCACTGGTCACGATGTCAGCGGCTCTGGTGCAAATATCTAGGAGGTATCTTTCCAACTCATGGAGATAACGGAAGAAAATGCAAGGGAGTCGGATAACGGTTGATCGGTTTCAATAGGGCGTTGTACTCACGTATTCACAGCGCTGTAATCCCCCTTAAACTCGCCCCAGTGCCGCCACTTAAAGGCTACCACCGGCGGTTCCGTGTACACCTCAAGCACCTCCCACGCGAACACGGGCATCATGCGCTTGAACGTCTTGTGGCTCGTCCCGAAGTCCATCGCTTTAGCGTCGTAGTACGTCCCTGAAACAGCCGAGGGCGCATCGACGCCAATGATCGCGTTGTACGTCCCTACGCGCAGCATGTGCTCCGCCGACACGGGCTCCCGATCGTTCACCGCGAAGCTGTATTTCGTGAAGTCGACTGTCCGCCAGTCTGATAACCGCGTCTTGAAGGACGCTTCGATCTCCCAGTTCTTCACGAGGTTCTCGACGAGCGCGGGTAAACTGCCTGCGGTGTGGTTGCGGGTTTTGGCTAGAGAGAGAGAGGTTAGCTGGGTTATGCGACGTATGGTGAGATGCAAATGTGAATAGCCGAGACAGACGGGATGGTTGGTAGGGGCGGATCGAGATAGGCTTGATGACGAAAGGTAGTCAGACTCACTTTCTGAATAGTACTTCCGTGTCTTCTGGTAATCAGGCGGTTGCTTGTACCTCCATTCCGCGTCCGCATCCTTCAGTACAGCGTTGGGATCCGTCATGTAATCCGGTAATGCTGGTGCCGCGGGCTCCTGCTCTACAGGAGCTGGTTTTTGCACGTCAACCGCGGCCATTTTCGATTAGGGGTGGTGAGATCGGACGATGGATAAGACCAAGGCGTATATCCTTTGATGGGACTTCGAGTAGGCGCTTACTCTGTCTGCCCTCACATTGGAGACCTCAAGCACACGGGTGGTCGACGCTTATAGTTATACCCGTCCAGCTCACCCCCCGTCCCCCCCAGGTGCTTACGAAGCGAAACTAGCGAATATCCATCCTGCATTGTGCGATGATATCCCTCGCGTCCCCTCTCCTGTACTGCGTGAGATAGCTCCGTGTCCCTCAAAAGCTGCCCATAGCGGGAGGGCTCTCGATCCCGTCCGTGCAGTGAGCAGAGCGGACGGTGGTCAGACCAAACCGGTTCCCCGCAGACCAGACGAATAGAAACGGCCATGGTGCCCATGGTGCGGCTGAGAGCCTATGATGTACACCCACACCACGATCCACCATCTAGCGGCCCCGTTTGGCGCGTTCTGTATGTGCATCCTGCAACGCTCTAGCCGACGACGGGGAGTTCCAGTGGGGTGGTAAGCAGATCGAGAGCAGTAGCCATTCGCCGCTTGCCTTGGTCCAGACGGGCCGTTCTTGATCTTGGTCGCATGCAAATGCATACTTACTTGGGGCCTTTTGCCGAAGCGACCAGGCCTTTGATAAAGAAGGGATTGCGCACCAGTCTAAACCTCATTAATCTAGGCAGGGTCCGTGGCGATGGAGCGCATCTCGTATCGACGCTTCTGCAGAGCATTTTACATTAGCTCTAACAAGCTGCACGGCTGTTACACTGCTGAGGTGTACTACCTAGGTCTGTATGTAGCATAGTTTGATGTCAACACTTCGGATGAAGCTATACAAGTATACACCTTAGAGTCAGTCGAGACAATAAATTTCAATACATAAATCAGACTACGTGTTGAGTGTTAACCCCAGTGGATTTGTTGCCCCTAGTGTCGTGCGCACATACCTTGCGCTTTCAAAATGTAATTAAGGGTTTAGACTGGTCCAGCCACCTACCTACTGTAGTATATATTAGTAGTCTGAACTGATCTTTTGTACTCCGTAGTGTATGAAGTTCGCTTATTCTTCGCTATATAAAAATAGTACATGGGTTGTGCCATACCCTCAACGCTTAATACAACTATGACTTTATAAGTCCAGGTTTATAATACTTATAATCCGCTTCACTAAAATGAAGACAAAGGAAAGACAAGACTCCTCATGTCCGCTTCATGGCCGCCACCTGAAACGTCTCCTTTGTCCATCCATAGATCCTTCTAAATTGGCGAGCATAGACGGGCAGTAACTAACGCTCGATGCGCCACTGGTAGTGCTTGTAAACAAAGGATGAATCCACATTTTCTGATCCCTGCGGAGGCTCGAGGCGCACGACGGAGCCAAACGAGCGACCAGTAAAGAACCGCAGATCAACCAAAGCTTCCTCAAATCTTTCCTACAAGATAGGCCGGCTTGTTGCCTCCTCGCTGTTAAATATCATCGAAAAAACTTCGACCGTACTCGGCTGGACTCGGAAAGGCTTCGGGGGCAACGGCGGAGGATTCTCCGCGGTATAGGCTGCTGATAACTCAGCCGGGGGGCATTCATACATGAAGTTGCGCTTGTACGCCTCCCTGTCCCTGGTTTTCTCTCTCCATCGCCTCTCCTGAACACGAACCTTGGGATCGTTTGAGTATTCTGGCTGAGATAAAACTCCTTTACCATTGGGCTCTTTGTCCGTCGTTTGCGCATCATCTCCTTGGACTGACAGTACTTCCTTCTCAACGCTGCCTGCACAGTCCAACATCATGTCACAGTAGAGAAAACCAATCGTGGTGCCAGTTTTATCAATGACAAATTCATTGAACTCGTTTAGAGCAGCACTAGCCACTTCCGCTTGGAGAGGTATAGTGAAAGAACTAGCAAGCCCGGAAAGGTCGATCTCGGATTTAAGTTGACTGAGCTCCTTTTCAAGCTCTGTCACCCCGTTGACAAACCGCTGATTCTCTTTACCGCTATGTCTAGGCATATGAAAGGCTCGTGAGAGCATTTTAGTAAAGCCGACAATATTCGCTAGATCGCTAAGAGCGTCAATCACCCTAATGTCCAACTCGAGCCTTTTTGAGGGGACCGCTTCATACAGCTCGTCTAGCTTTGACAACCATTCAACAGCATCCCAAGCGGTCATACGAGGCTGGCAAAGGCATAATATATAGCGAAGCTGCTTGTCATGGGATGCGAGAGTTTGTGGTCTGCCTTTCAAGACGATACGTGCGTTTCCATTGTCATACGTATTTGCAATCCGCTTGAAAAATCGATGACCATTCTTTGTTGTTGACATTTGCCGTTTCAGTATCGTCTGGGTACGATTGAATTCGAGGTCACAAACACTGGCAATCTCTTGTAGAATGATTGTGCTTTGAGCGTCGCCTGTATATTTTGTGTAGAATAGGACTAATATTTCAGACAAATAATTCCAGATTGTGGTGTGTTTGACAGCGTCGTGGATTGCATCAAAGAATGAAACACTTATGTATTTATCGTTGTAAAGGGGTGGCTTACGACCTTTCTCGTCAGCGACTTTTTCGGGTCGGCTAAGGTACCAGTAGTCGATATAACGTTCCAGCACAGCGGGATTTGTACCGATGAGGGCTATAGTATCCTATAAAAGTCTTACATGCAACGCCGTTATCGTTATGATCCATTCAGGCTTGAAAACGGTGTCTAAGCCGCTTGTGATCGGCTGGTTCCATCCTATCTTTTGCAAAAGATCATCTACTAGAACGTTGCAGCACAGTAGATGGAGAGCTTGTCTTCTGATAATGAGTTGGCCCGTAGACAACGGGACGCAGAGTCCAGCATCGATAAGTTTTTTGTTGTCAGTGAGGAATTTTTCCATGTCCTTGACCTCGACTTTAACAGACTTGCCATACCTCTCTGGGTCTAAGAAGGTCCACGAGTTTGTGGAAGACTCGACATGGCGTATTGTTTTCTCGTTTATCAAGGTCGAGATGAAGGCATGGTCTCCATTTCGTCCCCAGTCGCCTGTTACCACGGAGTGCCCGAACTGTACCTGCCAAGGTAAAGGCCGTTCGGCTCTAAGTCTGAGGCGGATATAGAAATATGGAGAATCTGGATTAACGATTTCCTTGATATTCCACTCGGGTACGAGTCTGAAATCACGTCTCCATGACTCTAGAGCGCCTTCCAAAGACTCGGGAACCTCGTTGTCGTGTGCTCCTCGTCTGACGTACATGGTGCGTTGGGCTGGACTCAGGCTATCCCAGAAATTCCATATGTATAACAAATGTCTGTGTATCTTGCGATACAGATCGCAGTGTAGAAGCTTGACCAGCTCCGTATCTGGTGAGGCTTCCATCTTGATTTTGCGTGTTACTGCTATTGCCGTCGAGGGTGTCGAATACTATAAGATGTGCCTAAGCATGTAGGTGTCGTGAATGAGGAGGGGGGATACAGGAAAGAAGACACCATTGATATATCAACTAGCCAGGGAAAAAATTGTCTCATTCAATAACTCGGGTCAACGGTATGCGCTGTCATCGTTATTGTCCTTGTATCGTGGAAGGGGGGAGATGGGTGGTCCTAGGGGCTGGTGCCCGATATCTACCCACTCATGCAAAGGAAACAACACCCGGTTAGCACGCGAAGATCGAGCTTGACGAAAACGCAATGGCGTGCACTTAATGATGATGCGGCGGCAAGGGCGGCAGTTACAACACGGAACACACCACATAGCGGTGTGCGTTTACGTTCTTTTATAGCATCCGGTACTTGCTTCGACTTGGAGATGTGTCTCACCTGGAATCTGGAACGAGAGAAGTACCTGATAGCTCCGACTCAAAGCGCCTGCAACGATCAGCAGCAGAGGCAGGTGTACCAACATCGCCAGGCTCGGGTCTCATAGGTGAAGGATCGTACCGTCTATTCATATTACACATTACCTAAGGTAGCTACTAGGAGGGCTCGATCGGCGCCGGCACGGGAAGCGCTGGACTAGGCTGTACTGGCCGTAGCCACCTCGATCGCCCATAGCCAAAGCGCAGAGACGAGCGCTACTGTAGCGCCGCGATCCCCCAGCATACCCGTGAGAGCGCTGCCCATCAGCTGGAACTTGAAGGCCTTGGTCATCGACGCGCTGCTGTTGTGCGCCCACGCTGCTACCACTTCGAGCCCGTCGCTCGTCGAGCCCAGTTCCCGCGTTGCCCGGTCTCCGCCGCCGCCGACAGACCCGCCCGACAGACGCACGAGCTTCCAGCCCCATCGCAAGCCACCGACCTCCCGTACTTCGCTGCCATGACTCGAACGCCACTCGAACTCTTCGCGCCGCGTCTCCTTGCCGACGCCGACATCGGCCGCAAACGCGTACGTCTTGTCCTTCAAGAGCTTCGGGCAGGACATGCTGATCTGCTGGCTCTCTGTGTCGTGGGGCACCCCCTCGCGAGCCGGGATTGTGAGAACCGAGGCCGACCTGAAAATGGATCCGTGACGCGCCGTGGCCAAGAGAGCGCCCTTGTCATCCGGGCCGTCGAATAGCTCCAACTCGGGCTTCTTTGAAAGCCCCGAGTGCCAGCGCCCGGCTAGCCGCGGCGTATCTTTTGTCTCGCCGAGGTAGAACGTCTTGGTGAAACCCCATTTGTAGTAGGCGTTGAGGGCGGGCGGGAACTTGGAGTTCCCGCCAGATATCGGCCCGGCCGCGGTGCTTGATTCACCGCCGTGGTACGATGGTGCAGGCTCTGATGGTGGGGAGGTGTTTGTGCCGTAGCCCATGCTCTGGTATGGCGGGGGAGGGACATCATCGGCCGCCTTCTCGGCTTGTGCCTCGTAATGTTTTGGGTTCTCCATTCTCTAGTGTCTGTGCTCGTAGTATATGCTAGTAGTCGCACAGTTGTTCAAGTGGACTTAATTTGTGCGAGTAAGAACAGCTTTGAGTAGTATATAATCTATATATTAGTGGAAGATGTCGACCCTTATTATAGGTAAGCACTACATCCTACTTATGAGGGCTGAGACATGTTCTCTCGTCTGCATCGCCATGATCTGATCGGCGTCATCTTACCTTGTGGCTTGTACTAGTCGACTTGCGCCCGTGTTAGCACGCGACGGAGCTAGAATGGTCTCAATCTCGCTCTGCAATTACATCACCCTGCTTTGCTACGCCGCAGTCTCTCGCTCGTCTCGGTATTCCCATTATCAGTAGCCAGAACCTAAACTTACCAAAGAGAGAATGGAAAACGAATGATCTGCAGCTTAGACTAGTCTAATAAGGCACGTTGAGTAGGAGCATCTTATCTAACGGATGCTACTCAGCACAGACCCAGTACTACCTAGAAGTAAGCGGTGCCAATCCTGTTGATTGTCTGCTTTATCCTCCTCGCCGAGTCTATAGATAAACTGAGGGTTACCCCCCCTTGTTGACCTGATAGTGGCCAAAGCTTTTGTAGGTAGAATTTTCTTTGGGGTACATCTAACGCGTCTCCCACTTGACCTGGCTACCCAATTGACCTAGCCACCCAATTGACCTAGCCACCCAATTGACCTAGCCACCCAATTGACCTAGCCACCCAATTAACCTAGCCACCCAATTAACCTAACCATTTAATTAACTTAACCATTTAATTAATTTAATTATTTAATTAATATAATTATTTAATTAATTTTATTATAAAATTAAATTATTTTAATATAATATAATATTATTTTTTATTTAATTTAATTATTTAATTAATTTAATTATATTTTAAACTTTTATATATATATATAAAAAATCTTTTATTTTTTTATTAAAAATAATAAAAACCTTATATAAAAAAATTAATTTATAATTTATATTTTAAATTATTAAATAAAATTTAAAATTATTTATTTAATATATTATATTTAATTAATTTTTATATAAAAAATAATAAATAAAAATAATATTTAAAAAAAATATTTATAACTTTAATGAAATATAAATAAAAATTATAAATTATAAATTAAATTAAATATTTTAATAAATATAATATATTTTTTATTTAATTTAATTATTTAATTAATTTAATTATATTTTTAACCTTTATATATATATTTAAAAATATTTTAATAATTATTTATATAATTAATTTAAATTAATTTAAATTTAAATTATTAAACATTTTTATAATATTTTTATAAATTTATATATTATAATTAAATTTATTATAAGCTTTATAATATTAAATATAAATTTCCTTTTTTTTTATATAATAATTATTTTAATATATAATATAATTTTTTATTTTAAAAATATTTTATATTTTTATTTAATTTTTAATATTTTTAATAATAAAAAATCCTTTATTTTATAATTTAATTCTTTTTATATAATAATATTTATTAAATTTATAATTTACTTTATAAAAGCTTTTAATCTTTTTTTTAATAATATAAAATAATATATAATATTAATTATATTATATATAATTTAACTTAATCTTTTAATAATAAATATAAAAAAGTTATTTTAATATTATATAATTTTTTATTTAATATATTTAAAAAGGGAATTAACTTTAATTAAATTATTTAAAGTTATAATTATATAAAAATTAAATAATATTAAAAATAAATAATTAATTTAAAGTATAATTAAATAATTTAATTAATTAATAATATATTTTAAATTATATAATATTAAACTTATTCTTTTAAATCCTTTTTATATATTATTTATAATAATTATTTTATTAAATAATATATTTCCTATTTAACTTAGCTATTTAATTAACCTAATTATATTTTTAACCTTTATATATATATAAAAAAAATCCTTTATTTTTTTATTAATAATTATTAAAACCCTTTATAAAAAAAGCAACCTATAGTTTATATTTTAAACTATTAAATAAAATTTAAAATTATTTATTTAATATATTATTATTATTTATAATATTCCTTATATAATATTTACCTTTTAAATAAAAGGTTTTAAATTAATAAGTAAAATATTACCTTTAAAAGCTTAATTAATTTTAAATAAAGAAAAATTAATTATATAATATATCTTTAATTTTATAATAAAATTATTTCTACTTTTATATAATTATATAAAAGATATAACTAATTAATTAATAGTATTATAAGGTTAAAAGCTAATTAAAAAAATTAAATATTAAACTTTATATAATAAATTTTAAATATTTAAATATATTTTAATTAAAGAATTAATTATTAATAAATATTAAATAAAAATTTAATTAAATATTATATTTAATTTATCTTTATATAAAAGATAATAAATAAAAATTATAAGTTATTTAATTAAGTAATTTAAAATAGTTTATAATTATTTAAATAATTTTATTATATAATTAAATTATTTTATTATATAATTAAATTATTTTATTATATATTATTTTAATAAAGAAAAACTACCTTATACTTTAATATAAAAATAATAATATATTAAATAATTAAAAGATTATAATTATAAAAAATAGTTAAATAATAAATAAATAGGTTATAAATTAAATTAAGTATTTTAATAAATATATAAAGCTTTATATAAAAGAATATTATTACCTTTTTTTTTTTTAATAGTTATAAAAGTTATTATTTATATAAATTTAAATTATATTATAAAAAAAATAATATTATTACTTTTTATATACCTCCTTATTCCTTTTATTACCTTTAATTATTTAATATTAAAGTATTTAACCCTTTAAAATAATTATATAAAAAGTAAATTAAAAGCTTTATATAAATATATATTATTTATATTTAAAAGGAAAATTTTATAATTATATTTCCTTATATATTTAATAAAGTAATTATTTTAAATAATATATAAAAGGGATTTAAAGGAATAAGTTTAATATTATATAATTTAAATTATATTATTAATTAATTAAATTATTTAATTATACTTTAAATTAACCTTTTATTCTTAATACTATTTAATCTTTATATAATTATAACTTTAAATAACTTAATTAAAGTTAATTCCCTTTTTAAATATATTAAATAAAAAATTATATAATATTAAAATAGCTTTCCTATATTTATTATTAAAGGGTTAAATTAAATTATATATAATAATTAATATTATATATTATTTTATATTATTAAAAAAAAAGGTTAAAAGCTTTTATAAAATAAATTATAAGCTTAATAAATATTACTATATAAAAAAAATTAAATTATAAAGTAAAGGATCTTTTATTATTAAAGATGCTAAGGATTAAATAAAAGTATAGGATATTTTTAAAGTAGAAAATCGTATTATATATTAAAGTAATCGTTATATAAAAAGAAAGGAAACTTATACCTAACATTATAAAGCTTATAGTAAACCTAGCTATAATATATAAACTTATAAAAATGTTATAAAAACGTTTAATAATTCAAATTTAAATTAATTTAAGTTAATTATACGAATAGTTATTAAGATATTTTTAAATATATATATAAAGGTTAAAAATGTAGCCAGGTTAATTAGGTGGCCAGGTTAAGTGGGAAATACGTTAAAGAATATTATTATATATATTAAAATAAAGAGAAAATAAATATAAAATAATATAATTATTATAAATGCATTATTAAAATTTTTAAAATAAATAAGTTTAAAAAGAAAATATATATTAATAAATAAATATAATAATAAATTATAAATATTAATTATTATTATATTATAAAGGTTCTTATAATATATATTGAAATAAAAATAAAATAAAGGTAAAATAATATAATTATTTTAAATATATTATTAGAACTATTAAAATAAATAAAATTAAAAAAAGTAATAAATATAAATAAATAAAAGTATAATAATAATAGTTTTTATATAATAATAAACTATAAATATTTATTATTATTATAATATAAAGGTTATTATTATATATATTAAAATAAAAAAAATGTAAAGGTAAAGTAATATATTTATTTTAAATATATTATTAAAACATTTAAAATAAATTAATTTAAAAATATTATATCTATTAATAAATAAAAGTTTTATATTATTAATTTTTATATAATAATAAACTATAAATATTTATTATTATTTAATAATAAAGGTTATTATAATATAATTATTCTAAATATATCATTAGAACTTTTAAAATTAATAACTTTAAAAATATAATATATATTAATAAATAAAGGTAACGCATCTCCCACTTGACCTGGCCACCCAATTGACCTGGCCACCCCCCTAGCCCATACAAATAACGTCGGTGCGCTAATCACGTGATAATTTAATAACTCTACGAATACTGATCGTATGAAATAATAAAATATACCATTAGATTCGCAATGAAAAGAGCTATTCAACGGTACCCTTTACTAATTTTTACAACTTATATTCGCGGAGTTATTAAGCTATACGCTAAAGTAAGCGCTAAAGTAAACCCTGCTTAGCGCCCCTTTAGCGTATTGCTTAATATCTCGCTTAATAAATTTTGTAAAAAATAGTAAAAAATACCTTTAGATTCCCCTTAAACTAACGGATTTAACGGTACTAATTATTAAACCGTACGATTAGTATTTGTAAAGTTATTAAAGATTGAAATAATGGGGTTTTATATAGGTTATTGGGGTGGCCAGGTCAAGTGGGAGATGCGTTATATTAATAAATAAAAGTTTTATATTATTAATATTTATATAATAAAAAACTATAAATATTTATTATTATTATAATATAAAGATTATTATAATATATATTAAAATAATAGGAATATAAAGATAAAGTAATATATTTATTTTAAATATATTATTAAAACTTTTAAAATTAATAACTTTAAAAATATATTATATATTAATAAATAAAGGTATTATAATAATAGTTTTTATTTAATAAAAAACTATAAATATTTATTATTATTATAATATAAAGGTTATTATAATATATATTAAAATAAAGGAAATATAAAGTTAAAGTATTATTATTATTTTAAATATATTATTAGAACTTTTAAAATTAATAACTTTTAAAAAATAATATATATTAATAAATAAAGGTATTCTATTTATAATTTATATATATTAATAAACTATAAATAATATTTATTATTTTAATATTAATAATATATTATATTATATAAAATATAATATAATACTTAATAAAATATATTTTTAAAAAATTAGAATTAAACTTTTAGTCACTCTTAGTTAGACTAAATTAATCACTTTAGTCACTTTAGTCAGACTAAAGTTTTAATCAGATTAAATTAATCATTTATAGCTTTGACTCAGATTAAATTAGTCATTCAATTAAGTGATTAAAACTAATTTAATCATTCACTTTCCTGATTTTTAACTAATTTAGTTATTCAAACTTGTGACTAAGATTAAGACTAATTTAGTTACTCATGATTAAGACTAAGACTAAGT